GTTTTTATTTTATCTTTGAAAGCAAAATAAAATTTTTCATAATTACTGCTAATCTACTTGGAAACAATTAAAGTTTATAGAATTATGTTAGAAATCTTTTAATATGTAGTTTAGGTAAAGATTCTTTTGGCCTAATAACGCCACCAGTGGTTGAGCGATCGCCTTCACAGCCAGTTTTCTGAATATAGCTCATCCTTTTGCAGAATGTTTGACCATTCATGGTTCGATTGAACGCTCACACTTAGTTTGGCAAACTAAGGGTTGGCAAGTATTATCATGACTTTGGCTAGTAAAATAAATAAATTTCAAACAGGCAAGGAATTTAAGTAAATAAACTGTCACATTTTATAAATGTATTTATACATTAATTGTGTATAAGGCACACTGTGAATGGCACACACCATTTTCAGTTAAAAAATAAAAAGTTTAGATTTCTTACAGAACACAGCTTATCATACTTGAAATATTAACTTATATTATAATTTAATTCTTTGGAAATAAAAAAATAAATAAAAGCATTCTAATCTGATAATAAATAAAAAATCTATTTTTTTCTCTTTTTTGTATACAATAACAAGAAAAAATTACATTTAAGTACTGGATCTTTCTTGATCACATAATTAATAAAGTAATTTCCTCACTCAACCTTCATTGTGGTTAACCATTTAACTAAAAGATTTTTTAAAAATGTTTTTTAAGTACCAAACACTAAATAATATACAGTTAACTGAAGGTTAAAGTAATACAATAATAAGAAAAAATACTCTAAATCACCAGCAACTAAATGATCTCACAAAATATTCCTAAAATTAAATGTTTTTCAAGATTTATTAGACTATGTTCTATATATATATATATATATATATATATATATATATATATATATATATATATATATATATAATATTAAAGTATTGTTATAAAAGACTGAGCAGAAGGTTACTCATGAGGAAATGATTCCCTGATCAAGAATGTGAATTTTCAGTATATATATATATATATATATATATATGAGGTTCCAGTAATTTAAAAAATAATGCTTACCCTAGTATCTAAAAATTTATCAGAAAGACCAATACATAAACCCCACCTACTGATAACTTAAATATAAGATCAGTAAACTCTAAAAATAAAAGTATAAATAATTTAACTAGGATTAATTATTTATGGAATAAATTTAAATAAAGATTCAACATCAAATTAACCAGATAAGAATGCTTGGATAACAAGGCACAAATTAACATTGATATATGATAAACTCTAATAATCAGTATTAAATACTGTGAACAAAACTTAATATAATGAGGAACAAAATATACAATTAGTTTTACATTATTATCACAAAACACCTAATAAATAGTTACAATTAAAATAAACTAAAATCAATGCCCTGATATATTTTGAAATATTATTAATATAAACATTATTAAAATAAATAAAACAATAATCTAAAGTGAGAAATTACTAAACAAATCAAAAACAAATTGAAACAACAGCAACAAGTAGGCAAAAATATTCACAATGAAGTGACAACAAAAATAATTCAGAAGAAAAAATTACAAATAAAAATTTAAAATTGTTTTGATTTCATCTTTGCTTCATTAGAAGTAACTATGATTGTGTTATATTACAAGAATAATTGTTTGAAAACTAATATTCCAAAAAAAAAATAGATATATAAAAACCTATTTTAAGCAATGAGATTCATCTGAATTATCTTAAAACTGAAGTCTTATTTCACTCAATTTTTTTCAAAAAGCCAATGAGTAAATTAAAAGATGGAAAATACCTGTATTATAAAAATTTTCATTTAAAAACTCTTAATTACTTTTTTTGTTTTCAATAATATATATATATATATATATATATATATATATATATATATATATATATATTAGTAACAAAAAAAAAATAAAACAAAAGCTCATCAATTCAACTATCATTAAAAACCCACAAATAATTCAAGTAACTAAAATAAAACTATCGAGAAATTAAAAAACAAGATAGGAGATACATTAAATGTAGGAAGAGCCTAATCTGTATTGCATTAACATATATATATATATAACAAAGAGAACTTTAACCAAGATAAAATATTCCAGTAAAATTTTAAATATAACATTTTTTATCATATGAATCGATAAAAAAAAAAAATCCTAAATAACAATCATCCCATTTATTAGGGGTAGTTAAATAAAATTTACAAAAATCTAAACCAACAAGAAAGACTGAGCTTCTGTTTCAAAATAAGTGTAATAAATTTTAATTAAATATGGTTAATTTAAAAATATAAATTATTATGGTCAATGATATACTTAAATTTCTACAAAAACATTTAGATAAAGACTTCTTGTAATATTAGTTATATGTACTAATTAAACAGAACAAAGCTTATAAAATGAGATCAAATTTCAATTGGTCAATTGGTCCCAAGCAGCAAATTCATTGCTATTTAAATATTAAATTTAAGGAAAAGAGGCGCAATTTTGTAATTCAAAATAAAAAAAAGAACATTAAAATAATATATATAAATATACACATATTTGTGTGTATATATAAAACTTGTATACATGTACTAATGCATTGAACTTAAGACACATAACAAAGTAAATTTTTTTTTAACATCTCATTACATGAATTAAATACTAAGGAAATTAATTAGAATCTTATTAATGCCATCTTTTTTTAAAAATTCAATTTAAGAAAATTTACATAACTGCACAATATCTTAATAATGTTTGAAACAGTTACAAAAATATATTTTAATGGAAAAAGTAGTCTTTCTTCACATTTCTTAAAAAAGACTGAATTTAAAAATATACATATTCCACAGATGTTCAGTTAATAATACAATGCACAAATGATCACATGGTCATATTTTTTGTCTTCAGGAAACATGATTTTTCTGGAATGGTTAAAGGAATGATTTGCACATTGAAACAAAGCATAGCAGTAATGTCATCTAATCATTATGAAAATTAATAAAAACCACAGCTATTTACATATTTATCAGAAACATATGAAACCTCCTATACTGTTTTTAGAAAGGCAAATGGTCACAAAATATGACCTCTAAGTTATGTTTTTAAATGAGTATAGAAATTGTTACATCAAAAATGAACATTAATGAAATGTATTTAATGAAGAAAGGTAAAATTATTGACAAAATAGGTTTAAAATTCTAGAATGGTGCATGGAAATAGAAAAATAACTTCTAATAGTGTTAAATCACTATTCATCAAATGGTAACCAGTCGACTGCTTCAAACTGTAACCACGTATGTACTTTGTTGCCAATATAAAAGTCTTATTATCTAGAGATATTACTTTCTTTAAATACTGAAGACTATTCAAATCCAGCAATGACTATAGAAACTTAAAGCTGAAATAAGAAAGAAAAAAAAAACAACCAACTAATCAAAAGTAATATTCTAATTATTGCAATTTCTACCACCAACATAAAACACAAAATATAAATACCAAATAAATTAAATTAAGAATAAAAAAATGCAATGACAAAAAAGAAAATTCAATAGCTTATCCATCACTTTGTAACTGATAATTCTCACTAATTTTAATTAAAAAGATCAAATTAGGATTTTAAAAAATGAATTAAGTACCAACACTAATTATGTTTTATAAAGTAGATAAATAAGTACAAAGTATACCATACAAATAAGATACATAAGATAAGTGATTTTGTACTAAATCAGTCTTTGAAAATAAATCTTTGAGCACTAAAAATTGAATAAACCTACTTTTTGATTAGGCAGTAGATATTCCAAATTTCCAAATCTAACCATTATTTCTGAGTTTTACCTGAAAAATTAATTTTAAAAACTTTTAAGACATTCATGAAAATAAATGAAGAATAATACTTTAAAAGCTTAATACTTCAAAATAGTGAGGGGAGGAGAAAGGGAAACATTAGTTCTGTGAAAATTGAACTAATATTTAATGATTGAAATCATAATAAAATAATTATGGATATGGATGGGTGGCCAAGCGGGCTAGCGCATGTGCACAGCACCACGTGTTACCTGGCAAACCGGATAGAAGATAATAATACTGAGTTGCGTCCCGATGCCAAGGGTGGATTTCTTTTAACTCTAGCATTAATCTCCCACCCTCATCCTCTGATCCGGGAAACCACTGTATAGCCTAAAAGGGGAGGAAGGGGAGGACAAAAAATTTTTTATAACCAATAGTACATACAATTTCAACAGAGGATAAATAATTCGAACCATAATGATTTCCCAAATTACTCATTCAAACAATTTTAAATATAAAAAAATTGAATAAAACAGTATTTTATTAATGAACAAATTATTCTCTTAATTACTTCCATAACAAAGATGAATATTGCAAGTGTGCATTCTACTTTCTATTTGAAATTATTAAGGAATTTAAAAAAAACAAGATTAAAAAATAAAAACAAAACAAAGAATGGACTGCATATAGGAACATTCAAAAATAAAAAGTTCAGTATTAATTTAAACATTAGATCAGGAAATTAGAATTGAAACATGATATAAAAACTAGTAAAGTCAAATTCTAAAAAAAATTGATTATAACTTTGGAATGAGCTAAATCATTAAACCATTGAGATTATTTACTTTTAATAATTTTTTTGTTACAGATTATTCAAACAGAACTTTATATTTAATTTTTATATGAACTTTTTGTAGAATGAGCATTCATATTTAAATTGGAAAACAAAATCTAAGGATCAAGAAAAAAAAAAATTTAACATTATTATCCATCCTTTCTAATGAAGTTAAGAAGAAATGTTAAACTTTCATTTAGATGTAAACAATAGTTTTTAACATTAAATCCACTGAAAGGAAAAGTAGAAATACATTAAATAAAAATAAATGATATGCAATTAATTAATTAATGAAAGTAATATTTTTTTAAAATGTAATAATAAATGGCTTTAGTGCAACTTCAAAGTATTTATTAAATTATTTAAACATTAAAACTTAAACATTATAAATAGTCTTTGTACTTATTTTTACTGAAAGGAATGTTGATTAACTGGGATTAGGAAAAAATTGTAAACAAACATAAATGAGAAGAATAACAAGCAGATGAATATTAACCCAAGAGTGATAAGAATATTTGATCAATACTGATCTTAAACACCGTGAACACAGACATTTTTTTTTTTTATGATCATAACATGATTCAACACAACCTTTAAGAATTCATTTATACTTAAAGACATAAAATTTGTTGGTGCAGAAAACACAAAAGAACAGTACACACATACAAAAAAAAAAGAGATAAAAAAGAAACACGCACACATATCTTCTAAATAAAGTGCATTTTGCTACTAAGATAAATCAGAGTAGGGAAGTCTATATAACATAACAAGCAAGTTTCAAATTAATTAAGATACAATTATCTTAAATGATAATACAGACACTATCTGTCAACACCAATAACTTCAATTATTAATATTATAATACTCATTTCAGTCTAGTGATTTAATTTAACTTCATTCATATGTCACATATTAAAAAAAGAAATTAATGGACTATAATTACTACAATTAAATGAAGTATAATAAGTATAAATACCAGTATTAACATCTGAAATAGCAAAAATATTGCATGGTATTATTCTTTTTGTTTCATACGTATTTCAGAACCAGAACAATATTTTCAAGGATTCTTTTCCCCCCTCATCAATATAAAAATAAACATAAATAGATAACTTTTTAAATTAATTATACATTTATTCTCTATATGACTAGCAGAATGTTCATGTTGACATAGGATAAAGAGAAGATAATTTAGAATCTAATAAAATTTTTAAAATAGTTTGTTATACTGCAATACCATGGTATCAATAAACTGTATAGCACAAGGTCTATAATGATTCCCTAATTGATTTAAATCCGATCACAAATGAATAAAATGAACAATCCACTACATCACACATTCAAAAAACTTGTAATAAATTGAAGATTTATATATATGCATTAAAGAATCAATTTAAATAAATAATTTGAACTATTTCAATAACATAGTTCAACATATTTATGGACATGATGCTCGAAATATTCTAATAGAATGATTAGAAATTTTAAATGTATATAAAAACCAATAAAATACAATATATTCTAAAGTTATAAGAACCATAAGGTTTGTCAAACTAATTTTATGAACCACTTACATACCTTCCCACAATATTTCTACCTGAATTTGGTAATATTTCAAACAAACTTATTTTTTCCTGTTGCACTCTTTCTGATGATTTGTTGATTCGGCGAGAAACTATAAAATTCAGGAATCTGAAAGTAATAAAAATAATTTAATTCTTCAATCTTAATAAAATAATGATGGAAACAATTATAAAACAATTTTTTAATCTTCTCATTGATTTTCATATCATCATTTATTGAACCAGGGGTGCCCATCCCCTCCAAGAGCGATGGCGAATGAACTTTTCTCCTCCTCTCATGATATTATATTGCTACCCTCTTCTTAAAAATAGTGCAAGCTAAAAAATCTAGTTCTTACACAATTACACTTTCAGTGATGTTTTATCCTTTCATCTTGCCCCTGGTATGAAACTTTTTATTCCGAAAATATGACTCCCTTAAAAATTGAAAACCCCGTCAAAATATGACACCCTCAAAAATTACGATGGCACCACTTGCTGCATGAAGCCCCCTTCTGGGCACCCCTTTATTAAACAGAGAAAGCATAAAACTGTAATGCCATGCAATGAGTGTGTGATTATATAATATACACTAACTTGAATATTAAGTACAAGAAAGTAATAATCATTTAAATTCCTATATTTTTTTCAATTCATTATGTGGAATGGTACTTATACTTATATTATACTCTATATTAAAATTAAATTTCTTTGTAACATTATCTAAAATGAATTACAATTTAAGACACTGGTAAAGGTTACTAAATATAAACCAATTGTAAATCAATCTCAGGAAGGAGTAACGTCATACTGACCTCAGCCATCAACCATGACGTTCTTGTAGTCCATGGTCCATTTCTTATCATATAATTAACATCAGTCTTAACTTAGTGAACTGCTTCATCTTGTCGAAACCTACAACTTTTTATATAAGAACATTCACAGAAATGGGGTGGTGTTTTCAATCTGAAAATCAGTAACTTTTTCTATTTAATGAGGTACTAAAAACTCATGAATCTTTTATTGTCCGTTTGAATTGTAAGACAATCTGATCACAAAATCGAGAAAAAGGCAGCCTACAAAAATTTTAGACTGTTTGGTGGGAACCCCCCCCAACATATCAAAATAATGAGGTTATATAGGCCAAACGACTCAATATTTTTGTGGACTATTTTTTTCTCGATTTTGAGATCAAATTATCTTACAATTCAAGTGGAAAGCAAATGGGAATTCCTGGGTATTTAGTAACTTATTAAATTAATCCATTTAATAGGAAAACACCCAATTTCTGAGAATTTTCATACATAAAAAAGTTGAAGGGTACGATAAGATTAAGCCATTCAAGAAGTTTTAGAAGGATGTTAATAATTTGATAAAAAGAGGTCTGTCTGTACTATGGACTATTATCAGTAAGCCTGATATCACAGCTCTAAAAATTAATGTTTTTTGAAATAATGATTGTAGAATATTCTAGTTTTCACCTACATGCAGAATATAAATACAATTAAAGTAAAATTATGCATATACACCATTATCTGCTTTAGCCAAAATCAAATCCAGGCCTGAGAGATAGGGAGGGGCACAATACCTCATCTACTGAGCTATGCCATTCCCTACTATAATAAATATTGTTTCAGAATGTTTTCTCTCTAAACCATCCAAAATTTTGCTATTGATCATAATTACCTAAATTAAAATGTTATAAGGATAATATAGGGGCTGCATTATATGAGTAAGCCAGTTTGGGATTTACAACAATTTAATGGAATTATTCAAAAATTTTAAACTAAAACCATGGTTTTTGGGTATAAATATGATTATTTTTAATTAAGCAGCCAAGTAAAACATTTACTTTTACAAAATTAAATGTTTTGAAAAAAATAGTTCCTTCTCAGGGAAAGTTAATAATGATAATTTTTTACAAAAGTTTAAGAGGCATTTTTCTATTATCGATACTTCTTCTAATTGTTCTATTGGTTGATGCTTGTTATTCCTATATTAATTATTCCTTATTCCAATCATAGTATGGGAGCCAGTGGCAGATATAAGTCATCCATCAAACATATACCTGGAATTCATTTTAAATAACAAGTATATATTGTCTAGAAACAGAAGTAAGCAATAGGCTGCTTCAAAGGGTAGTAAACATTTAAAAATTTGAATTACTTTCAAAATGTTGAGACTTTTTTTTTCAGTAATACTACTACTACAAAAAAAATAAAAATAGGTCATTACAGGAAGGACATCTAATGCACTCTTAGGAGCCTTCGAGGAGTGTGAAGAAGCTGCAAAAAGAGCAGGACTGGTCATAAATAAAGACAAAACTAAATATGTGTTAAAAATGAGGGAGATGAGAGGCACTAGATATATCGAGGGAGCTAGACATTGTTTTGAGTACCACAATTTAGGTATCTAGGCACTGTTATCACTGAGAATAACATCATAAGAGGAGAGGAGAACTAAATGCAAGGATGACAGCTGGTAATAAGTGTTATTGGCCCCTAAGAAAAATCTTTCGAAATCGTGATATACCACCAAGAGCTCTCAAAATAAGAGTATATAAGGCAACCAGTTGTCATATATGGAAGCGAGTGCTGAACAATCACACTCAACAAAGAGGGGCGATAGAACAGGTGGGGAAGAAAAATCCTTCGTAGAATTTATAGCCCAACTAAAGAAGGAAATCTAGGGTGTATGAAGACAAATGACGAGCTGAAGAAGCTATATAACGCCTCAGACATTATATCCACCATAAAGAGGGGAAGAATAAGATGGTTGGGTCAGGTGCAAAAAATAGGAAATGGTAGGCTCCCTAAAATGATGATGGAAGGACATCTGGATGGAAGAAGGAAAAGAGGCAGGAATAGATTTCATTGACTGGAAGACTTCGGAAATGATTTAAGGAGCTTGAGTGTAGGCAGATGGAGAAAGGCGGCTGAAGACAGGTCGATTTGGGGGAAGATAGTAGAGGAGGCCAAGATTCTACAGGGACCATAGCGCCATCAGATGATGATGCTGACTACTACTATAAAAATTTATTAAAATAAACAAAATTTTCTAAATTCTATGTCCCTTCAGATTCTTCCAAGCATAAACTGTTATAGCCCTGGAGCAAGAGGTCCTAAAACAGTACCTTATCACAGTTTGAAGGTAAATTATGAAAATGTATGTTATTTTAAGTAAAATGAACCTTGTCTGCCATTCCAGAGCCTCTACTTTAAAAAATGGTGGCTGATATAAAGAATATTAGGCCAGTAATTTGAAAATGGAAATTGAAAATATTTGGCTAATATATATGGGGTCATATTCCTCGGAATGAATCATAAAATCCTTGGATACGCAGATGATATAGTTGTCCTTGGAAGTAATCAAGAGGACATTGAGAAACTAGCTAAGACTCTGATAAGAGAGGCAGAGCAGATCGGCCTAAAAGTAAATGAAGACAAAACAAAATATATGATAATAAGCCGAAAATTCCACCCCAATAACAGGATCTGCGTTAAAGGAAAATCATTCTCAAGAGTAGAAAAATTCAAATACTTCGGCTCCACAATAACCTCAATGAATGGCCAATGGGCAGAAATAGACCAGCATATAACTAGTGCAAACAGAGCTTTCTTTCTCCTTTCTAAGGTATTGAAATCCCGAAAAATCTCAAATTAAGGGAGTACAATGCTATGATAAAGCCAATTCTAATATATGGCTGTGAGACCTGGACAATAACCAACACCCTAGAAAAAGAAGGATGAAAGATTTGAGAGAAAAATTCTCTGCACGATAACCAGAGCGATCTGGGATCACAGTACTAAAACAGGCAGAGACGGAGCAGGCTTGTTAAGGTGGCAAAAGATCCACATGGTCTGTAATGTCAACAGAAAAAAAAATATGGGGTCAAACATATAAAAAACAAAATTGGCTTCTAAGGGAAATCTATTTACAACTAAAAAAGAAAAATTCTTTCGGTATTTTTTTGTTTTTGTTTTCTTGTCCATAATTCCTGAATGGTGCATAGAAGTGGAAAAAAGTACTCTTTAAGCAATTAAAAAAAATTGAATTTTAGAATAAAATAGAAAATAAAGTTTATTCTGGGACCCTTATGAATAAAAAATAAAAACCACATCTGGAAAAAAATTACATTATTCAAAATTAAAGAATATGTACAGTATCTTCAGTGAAAGTATATCATAACAAATAAAAAATAACACCATTTTGAAAAAAAACAAACATTGTTTTAAATGAAAAGAAAAACAGAAATCAGGTAAAATAAAAAATTATAGGAACTATGGGTTGATTTTTAAAATTAAAACTCAAAAAAATTTCAACAAGCATTCACCTCAGTCAAAATTTGACTGTAATATTTATTTCAGGTAGTGGACCACGAGTTTGAACTGTAGGAGACTGTAGATGTAGGAAGGGTGTCGGGTGTTGATCGTTTGGAATAGGAAAGATCCAAGGAAATGTTGTCTGTGGAAAGAAGGGAAGACCTACTTTAACTCGTCGTAAAGGTGGGACACATGAGACCACCTCGAAGTACCGAAGACAAATCTCAAGCAGGATTTCATGAGTTGCTTCAATCTATCCTCGAGTACCATCGGGATGCCTCCGTACACCACACAGCCGTAGTCAAAGTGGAGGAAAATAAGAGAGGATACAAGGAGCTTGCGGATAGATTGTGGGAAAAGGTGGCGGGAGCGATGAAATAACTTAAGGGTACCTATTGACTTTCGGGAGATGAAGGCGATATGAAGTTTTCAGGAGAGGTTTTCGTCAATGGTGATTATTCCTAGGTTTTTAACGGAGAAGCTGAATATGATGGGATGATCGTTGATCATGAACTAAAGGAGGAAGGAAGGAGATGGATTTAAGAACAGAACTGGAACCTATAATAATGGCCTGAATTTTCATCGCGTTTATCTTTAAATTATTAAGATTTGTCCAGGCACTGATCCTATCTAGGTCTGCCTGAATATTGGCAAACGCAACTAATAGCTCAGAAGGGTGAAAGGATAAATAGATTTGGGAGTCATCAGCGTATAAATGGTGTGAACAGAGGTAGATGGATTTGGAAAGATCATTTATAGGAAGATAGGAATTAAAAGGGAGAGGGGAAATGCTTGGGGCCACTCCAGA